ATCAGCTACTCAGGCTCCTGTTACCTTGACTGCCCCCTCATGAAGGACTGTGCCTTGAACTGTGAGCCAAAATGAACCCTTTCTTAAGTTGCAACAAATGTCTGTGAAAAAGTAAAAACAAAAACAAAAAAGTCTGAGCCAGGCACAGTGGCATGTGTTTGTGATCTGTCTACTTAGGAAGTTGAGATAGGAGGAGCTCTTGAGTCTAGGAGCTTGAGGCTAACCCAAACTACATTAAAAAAGGAAAGAAAAAGAAAGCAAAGCTGGGCCTGGAGTGCATTCCTTTAATCCTACAATCAGAAGCAGAGGCATATGGATTTCTGTAAGTTTAAGGCCAGTCAGGGATGTACTCAGTGAGACCCTATCTCAAAAATTAAAATAAAAAAAAATAGCCAGGCGTGGTGGCACATGCCTTTAATCCCAGCACTCAGGAGGCAGAGGCAGGTGGATCTCTGTGAGTTCAAGGCCAGCCTGGTCTACATAGTAACTTCCAGGACAGCTGGAGCTACAGGGAGACCCTGTCTCAAAAAGATCAATATATATAGTCAGATATTATGGCTCACATCTGTGATCCCAATACTTGAAAGGCAGAGATAGGAGGATCATTGCAAGTTCTAGGCCAGTTATGGCTACATAGCAAGACTCTGTCTCAAAAAACAAATAAACAAAAACAAAGCTGTAGGCTACACTGCTGTTATTGCCCAGCTTGTGAACTAAATGCATCTATTTTCCTTCTTTGAAAACTTTATTACATTTTATTTTTTATTTTATTTAATTAATTAATTTATTTATTTATTGCATGTGTTTGTATACATATGGAGATCAGTTGGTTCTCTCCTTCCACCATGTAGAATTGAACTTGTAATGACTAGAGCAACTCCATTTTGTATAAAGTTAGCCACCTTAGACTTTAAAAATCAGACAGAGGACATGGTTTGTGTACAGGAACACAGCTTCCAGACCCATGTTGCGAGCAATTCCCACACTATGTCAGTGGTCCACGGACACCTGGACATCTGCTTGTCCACAAGTTGTATGTCCTTTCCACAACGACTAGCCACAAAAGTCCTGGGTGTGCAGGACAGCAGTGGGTAACGTCTGGAAGGTTCTGTGACCTCTGGGGACTTCAGTTTCTCACCTAAACCCAGGGCCAGTGGCTTCTTGCTCCACCATGAAACACCATCACTCAGGCTCTACTGCCACACTGTGGGTGCAGGGGGAACTACAGCACTGAGTGCCTGATACTGAACTGGGGGACCCCAAACCCTGATGTCTGATCCTCACTCTCTGGCTTCACACATCCTAGTTGTTTGCCAGTGCAGTAGCTTTCTTACAGATTTTTATTGTCTTCAACACAACAGCCCAAGGGATCTTAAGTCAGACTGCATTCCTTCTCTCTAGGTGGGGTCCAAAAGTATGCTGGAGCTAGTTTGGAAGGCACAGCTGGGTGGCAGACCACTTGCCTAGCATATGCAAAGTCCTTGGTTTAGTCTCCAGGAACCAAAAAGGGGGGGGTATTCAAACCCCCTCTCAAAAATTTTTGTCAGTTAAACTGTCATAATTGAAAATTAGTGATTGGAAACAGATCTAAGTTTTAGTGAGTTTGCCTAGCATATGACCAGTTCTGAGTGTGATCCCCAAAACTAGCACAGGGGGCAGCAAAAAATTGGAACATTTAAAATTGAGATTATTAGGAAATAAGATACTAATCTTCAAAAATAAGCATTTCTTGATTTCTACATTTATTGTTCTCTCTTCTGGAACTCTTGACCCTCCTGCCTCAGTCTTCTGAATTGCTGGGATTATAATGTGCACTACCATGCCTAGGCTGAATGCACTATTACCTTACTGTTAACCTAGGCTGTTTGTGTGCATGTGGTGCTGGGGATTGAACCCAGGGCTTCACACATGCTAGACAAGCACTATATAGCCCTATGCTCAGTTTAGTGATTATTAACATTTTGGTATTGGAGACTGAACCTAGAGCCTCACACATACTGGGTTCAATTCTCATTACTGCAAATATTATCAAGTAAAATACATTTATGGGGTTGGAGGTATAGCTCAGTGATAGATCAACTAGCATATGCAAGACTCTGGGGTCAATACCCAGCAAATAACTCAAGTGACTAGATTCCCTGGGTACATGGATCAACAGTGAAAATTGCTTCTTGCTCTTCCAGAGGACCCAAGTTGTGTTTCCAGCACCCATGTCTGGTGGCTCACAAATGCCTGTAACTGTAGCTTCAGGGGATCTAAATGCCTCTTTCTGTCCTCCACAGGCATGTGCACATACTCACAAACACACATACCATACACATAACTGAGAATAAACCTTTAATAAGAAACAAAACAGGTGAAATTAATTTAAATAATGTACTTTATTTAATTCTGTATGTCCAAAATAGTATTTCAATGTGTAATCAATATAGTTATCAATGATATATTTTACATTCTTTTTTCATACTAACTTCAGATTCTGGTGTGTATAAAGTGTATCTCAATTAAAACTAGCCATATATCAAGTGCTCAAAAGCCAGAGTCCAGTGGCTCCAGATTGGGACAGCATAGGTCTAGATTTAAAAAAACAATGAAGGAGCTGGGGACATAACTCAGTGGCAAAGCATGTACCTAGCATGCACAAGGTCCTAGGTCAGATCCCCAGCACTGAGGAAAAAACAAAAACCCCTAAAAAACAAAAACAGAAAAAAGCAAGCAATGGTGGAATACTGATGATTCAGTTAAATTTTAAAAGAGTGCTGAGGTTGAGAAATTTCAATCCAATTAACAATTTCTTTGTGGAATCAATTGGTCATAGATTTAATAACAATTTACGAGGAAAAGAGCAGTGTGGTAAGCTGCAGCATGGCCCCCCAAAGCTCTCAGGTCCTCAGTTCTGAAGGTATAAATGTTCTTTTACAAAGGGTTGGGGTTAGGGTGTGGCTCAGTGGCAGAGCGCTTGCCTAGTATTCAAGAGGCCCTGCAATCCATCCCTGGCACTGCTAAAAAAAGGAGGAGCTATGTAGAGATAATTTAATATCTTTGCACTGATTATTTTGGATTGTGTGGGTATCTCTATACCCAGTCACAAACGTCCCTTTAAGATGGGCAGAGAAAGTTGGGTGCAGTGGCAGGACTGCTAGAGTGAGACCCTGCACACATGCGTGCAGATGGGAAAGGGGAGAGGCAGAGATGTAGCATATAAAAGAAGTCATATCACGAGTCTAGAGTGACCACTGCACCTGGAGTGACTACAGTCATTTCATTGCAAACTGTGAGTGGCAAGGGACAGGCTACTCACCAGAGCCTGAGAGAACATGAACCTGTTCCTATTTTGAGACAGCCTCACTATGCAGTCCTGGCTGCCCTCAAATTCCCTAGGTAGACCAGGCTAGCCTTCAATTTGCAGCACTCCCCCTGCCTCTGCCTTCCAAGTACTGGGATTGCAGGTATACCCCACCATGCCCGACTCCTTTGCTTTTTGATGAGAGTCTTGCTCTTTAGAGCAGGATGGCTTTGAACTTTGTATCCTTCTGCCTTAGTCTCTGCTGGACTTATGGGCATGCACCATACCACCTACCTGATTTCTGTTGTTGCAAGCTACCAAGTTGGTGGTAATGTTTTGGCAGTCACAGAAAACCCAAGCTAATAAGATGCTCCTCCCTCCCAATGTGGTTGAGTTAGAACCTCAGGCAGATGAGGATGAATAACCAGATTTCAGCAAAAAGCCCAAGTGTTCTATGGGCAACAACTGGCTACGGGATTTGCAAAGCACTTTGTGTCATTCAGTGTATGTAACCCACTGCTTTCAAATCTGTACACTATATGTGCATGTAGGCATGATGCTACACACCAGGTCTATCTCTAGCCCTGAACATGGCCTATAGGACACTCACACATTTTCCTGAACTCTCTAGGCCAGTTTCCTCCTCCACACAGGATGGTTAGAGGAATGGGATGGGTTCCTGGGTGGGAGGGGCTGGTGCCAGTTGCTGCTGGAGCAGCTACAAGTCAGGGGCTGATGGAACAAAGCTCCTGGACCAGTGTCCATGACTGAAACAGGCAGACTCAGAGAGTAGGATGTGGGACTATGGGATACCTGCTTAGGAGTATCAGCTCACAGATGGGGGTCACTGTCCAGGAGGAGACTGAAATCCCAGAAAATCCTCTCCTATCCCTTGTTCCTCCTGGGTGAAGGGCCTCTTTCACCAAAAGTCTAGGAAAGACAGTGGTCTTCTGGCTCCTATCCCTTGTCCACAGGAAAGGGGCTCAAGCATGGGTTGGGAACACTCTGCCATACATGGCTGGGATGACATTTGTCCTCTCAGTTCTAATGTGTCCTCCCCAGGGGCACCCAGGTCCACATGGCACAGACCATACAATGCCCTTCTTCCTTGGCATTGTTTTTCAGACTGAGCTGGCCAGCCACTCTAAGTGGTCAGTAAAAAGTCTTGACCAGGTTTCCATAGTGGAAACTGGCCAAACTGAGTGGCTCTGAGCAGAGTTGGGGAGACTCTTAAGCAGAAACCCCTGGCAAGCCCTGGATCCAGATGGACGAAAAGCCCTTGGGGCCCCAGCTTCATTCCACTCCATCCTGCATACACCACTCTCCTGTGAGCATCTGGAAGGCAGGGGCCAGAACTGTATATCTACCAAGGTTCTAGTAGGGGAGCTCAAGCATATGGTTACTAAGAGCACACTATAGGAGCCTGTTGCCTCTGTATCAGCCCCCAGAGAGAGGGTATGGTTTCCAAAGCCCAACAGGGGGTGCCCTGGTCACCATGGTTTATGAAGCCGATCTTCTTTGAAAGGGAGAGGGCAGAGGGTAAGGGCAAGTCCAACTTCATCCATCAATTAGGAAGCTCAGTATCAGTGACCAGTTGTTTTCTCTAGAGCCCTGGTGGACAACGAATTTCATTTTCCAGCTCCAGTTCAAACGTTAAGGGATTCAAGGGAAGAACCAAGGGCAGGCTTTCTCTTACCACAGCATCAGACAACTGTTTCAAAATATATTAGATTTGGTTTTTATTGTAGAGCACACACATATCAGGGCAAAGTGCTGCACACACAACTACAAATCATTTTTGGGAAAAAAGCTGTAAAAAAACAAAAACAAAAAAACAACCCTGCAACTGCTTTAATTATGCAGTCCTGACTTGAGGGATCCAGACTAGCAAAGGAGTTCTGGCCCCAGGGAGGGGTTTCTTGATAGTTGACGGCCCCAGATTTCCATAGCCTCTTGAGGCCTTAGGGTAAGGCCTCTGTATACCCCTGAAGTGGTGGTGGCATGGTTGCTTGCAAGGCCTCTGTTGTGGCAGGCCCAGGTCCTGGACTAGCTGCCAAAAAGACATTCCTAATAACTCTAGATCAGCAAAACCCTGCAGCCTTCCAGGATCTGAGTGGGTAGAAACTGCCAACGACTTTACCTTTTTATTTATATTTTCCTTTTATTATTTTTTGAAGCCCCTTCTCCAGCATCCATGCTCAAGGCAGAGAAGGTACCAACCCAGTCTGCAGATGTTTAACTTCTTGTCTTGGATATATGCTGTAGGCAAACAGAGAGGGTGTACCTTCTTAGAGGGATGACATGGGGAAGAAGGCCCAAGCTGACCAACTGAGGAGAAAGGAAAGAAATAGGAGAAAAGCCAAGAGACCAAAGGGAGGGGGAAATACCTCAAAACAAAAGAAAACAAAAGCCCTACCACACACAAGTTCCCATACCCCAAATGCTAGGCTTGGACGCAAACCAGTTCTTCTAGCTAGAAACAATTCCTACAAATGGCCAACATGGCAAGTCTAACTGTTCCATACAATCACACACATATGCCTGAAAGGAGCAACTCAGCAGAGAGGCATGTTCTTGGCAAGAGAGGTCAGGACCACTGTGCTAGCCCCTTGACAGCCCAAGAATTGGTGGGCAGAGAAGCCAGAGGGCGTGCAGGAAGCCTGGGGACTCAGCAATAACTTTGGGGTGGCAGGGACTGGCACTGTCTAAGCCCTGAACAACCACCCATCCGACCTGAATAGTGGGGAAGAAGGTATTTGCATGAGCTTCCAGGGCCTGGATAGCCGGTGAGAAGTAGGGGTAGCAGCCTGACACAGGGCCTGTAAGGCTCCAAGAGATCTCAACCAAGCATGAACTCCAGTGGAGGAAAGGGCTGGCAGAAGAACGAACTTTGTTTAGAACACTGCAAAGATTTACATTTAAAGCCAAAACAAGAATTCCTTAACCAAAACATTTTGTTATGTTTAAATAAACCCAGCCTGACACAGCTCCACTTGACAATGGTTGTTCCCAACATCTCTACTGGCTATTCTGGTGTGAGCTGTCCCCTACAGAAGTCAAGATTGCCTTCCCATCCAGGAGGAAAGCCCAGAACACAAGAACCCAGGTCTTGGGCCAATTCTGTTCTTCAGCCTTAATGGGCAACAAAGCAAGGAAAAAGTATGTAGGATCAAAATAACAAAAACAAAAACCCTCAAACAAAACAGAAGATGGGACAGCTACATGAAGATTAGCCAGAGTTCCAGGAGGGCACAGGGCCTCAGTGCCTCCGCATCTTCACCTTGCGGGCGGGGCTGCCTGTTGCCTCCGGGCAATCCTCTGAGGATTCGTAAGACTTGCGCCAATAGTTCTCAGAGCTAAAGCTACCCCTCCTCCGGTGTGTGGGCAGAAGCACTGAACGTCGATTTTCTTCTTTGTCCATCTCCAGGATCCGGGGCCTATAAGCAAAGAAGAAGAGTTGTTACCTGAGGCCAGAAGGGGGGCCCAATCTCACCATAACTGTTATCTGGACTCTGGATTCCCTGTCCTTGGCTTACTCTTGCTCAAAGGTTCTCAATGAAGGGTAGTACTGGCAGAAGTAGTAACACTGGAGGGGCCTGTCTACTAAGTGACGGTGGTCAGCCCTTGTCATGGGAACGCCTCTTAGTCACCTTGTGTGGTCTGTTTCATTCTGAGTCTGGTGCTTGGTCCCCTGTCAGGTCTGCTGGGCTTTCCTTATCCCAGCTTCAAGACCCTGCATGGTCCTGCCACATACCTCTACTTCCCTACTCTCTTCACACAACCCCTTCTAAACTTGCAAACCCTTAGTCTCTGAAACCACTAAGCCCTTTTCTGCCTCAGAGCTTGAGCTCATATAGTACTTCCTACCTGACACAGCTTCCTTACCTTTCTGATGCCATCTTAACCATTATCCTCCCAGAAGCCCTCTCCATTCCTTCTCTAAGAGGTTCTTGGCTCACTTCTAGGTGGCCAAATCCTCTCTAACACTAAATATAAACTTACAAGTGTGTGTGTTCAAATGGGAATGAACAAGCCAAGTCATGGGAGGGCTACAACATTTCCAGTTGTCAGAATTTCTGCTGGATCTTTTCCTTCTGGGGTACATGTGCCAGGGGCTAGGAAGAAATGCCACCAGTGCCACTTTCTCAAAAGAAAAAGTAAGACTTTGAAGGAATGGGTAACCCCAAGCTCCTAACCAGCCTATTCCTATCCTGCCTGCAGCTAGACCACAGACTGCATTGTTGGCCTCTATTGAGGGTCTTAAGTACCTGTGGGCAGCATCAGGGTCTGCCTTCCGGTGGGAACGTTTGGGTTTCAGCGCAGGGTCCCTGTTGTTTCCTGACAAACGTTCTGAAGCATAATTGGGTGGCAATCCGGAGCTGCTCAGGGATTTTGTTTCCAACCGCGGTGCATCTAATCTTGTCCTGCAAAGGAAACATACGTGAAGTCACCAAAGGGCCTCTGATGAAGGCGTAAGTCCCATCAGACCATATCTCTCTCCATTCAGGCCAAGTGGAGATCAGTTAGGCCTGCGAGCCAGCAGTCTTGTTCTGTGTTCTGTCCCTCAGTTGTTTCATGATTCAGCTAGAGACTAGCTGAATGGTCTAGAGACTTCCAGTGAATGTCTTTCTCATTTTCGGACTGAAAGTTAAGAACAGGAGTACTTCTGTCTGGGCACCTCCAATGATTAAGGTCTGCTATCCCTGCAGACAGACTCCAGGGCACTCTCAGTTGTAGCACGTTGCCACCCAGTCAGACCTGCCTGAAGCCTGTGGGCACTACACACTCCAAAAGATGCCTTCATCCCTGCCAGCAATGGCACTACAGGAAGGGCCTGTCCCAGCTTCTGGAAGGTTGGAGGGAAACAGACTCAGAACCTCTGCATTCTCATGTAGACACAGGGTCATGGAGGTCGAGTGCCAGAGCCAGGGAAGGAGAAGCCTAGACTCACACTTGGCAAGAGCTTTTAAAAGACAAGTATCAGTCAGGGGTGATGGCACATATCTTTAACTCCAGGACTTAGAGGTAGGCAGATCTCTGAGAGTTCAAGTTAGCCTGGTCTACATGCCATCCATGGCTACACAGTGAGACCCTGTCTCAAGAACAACAAACCAAAATCAACCAACCAACCAACACCAAAATCCAAACCACGTGAGTATAGCGGTGTACACCTTTGATCTAAGCACTTGAGAGGCAGAGGCCAGTCTGGTCTATGAAGTCAATAAACAAACAAACAAAAAAAACTCCAAACCAACCAACCAACCAACCCCAAAACCCAAACCACATGAGTATAGCGGTGTACACCTTTTGATCTCAGCACTTGAGAGGCAGAGGCCAGTCTGGTCTATGAAGTCAATAAACAAAAAAAAAAACAACTCCAAACCAACCAACCAACCAACCCCAAAACCCAAACCACATGAGTATAGCGGTGTACACCTTTTGATCTCAGCACTTGAGAGGCAGAGGCCAGTCTGGTCTATGTAGTCAATAAACAAAAAACCCCCCCAAAACCGACCAACCAAAAACAAACAACAAAGAAAGGTAAGTCTCTACCCAGTAATTTAAGGAACACATTGCCTAGTCAAGGCAATACATACAAGGGACAGACAAGGTAAGAAGAGGAGGGAGGAGCTGGCCAGAGAGGATCCTGAAGCACCTTTTCCAGGGCTTGCTGAACATAAAGTAGTAACTGGGATCTGAGGAGAAAGGTGCTGCAATTAGATGGGAAAAGGTACCCTGACAAGAATGCTCATGGAGAGAGAGAACAGGTAGGAAACCCAAAAGCTGCACCTGGTCCTCATAGCTCCATTACCACAGTTGCCATTGCCACTCTCCATGGTATGGCCTGCTGTAGGCAAAAAAGGGAAAGCCAGGTCAGAAAGGTGGAAGGGCAACATCTTGAAAGTCTTAGGAAAAAGGTTTAAGCCTAGGTGAAACTGCAGGTCTGACAGATAGCAACCACTCTGGCCTGGGCAGCAGCATCTCCTTCCTTCCAGGTGAGAATGACTATTTTGATGCCCTCAGGCCCAAACTGATGAGCAGGCAGGCATGGCAGATTCTGCCCCCTGTTTTGGCCTCACAGAGGGGCCCAGCTCACCAATGGGCCTACTAGTCTTGGCTGCTATGCTCAAGGAAACAGGAACTAAGCAGCAAGAGGAGAAAAACTCATTCTGGCTGCTGCCCTTCAGAGTCCAGGTAGCCACTTTTAATCTTTGGGTCTGTTTCCTCATCTAAGCAAAGGTAGGAGATGTGACTGAGTTTAAGGCTGCCTTCAGTTCCAAGGGTCTCAGAATCATATCAATTGCCTCCCTCAAGGCTGGAACACAAGGATTTGATTTAGAACCCCAAGTCCTCACATACTCCTGTGCTGAGAGGTCCATGGAGCAGAGACTGGACCAATACACCAGAGCCTGACTTGGACATAAGTGTAAGAATCTGTAGTCTTACAGAAGTCCCTCCTCTGAGGTCAAGGACCGCTGCACCCTGGCAGATAAACTCAGTGGCAGCACTGTCATCTCCCTGGAAGGCAAGCCTTTGTGAGCTGCCTTCAGGCCCCCGTCTGGAGCATCAAGAAGCCCCAGACCTGCTCCTGGGTGTTGCAGGCTGCCCTTTCCCACCAGATCAGAGGGGCTGAGGGGATCCTAGCAGGGGGAGGGCAATTCTTTCACTCCAGTTGCCAAACATCCCTCCCTACCCCCAGACTGTCCTCTTCCCTCCATCCCTGACAGTTTGGCCTTCCCAAACTGCTTTTGATCCAATTCCATTTGGGTTGAAGCAGACCAAGTTCCTCCCCAGACACCCAGTTTGGGGGGAGGCTGTTTTTTTTTTTTTAAAACAATACCCCCTATTCTCATCTGTCCCTCCCCTTCCCATGCTGCCAATTTCTAACTGCAATAGTGACTCTGTGCTTGTCTTTTAGTTGTGTAGTGTGTATATGGAATGTTGTGAAAATTGACCCTCCCTCACCAGCTGGTTGCTCTCTTCTCTCTTGGCCTTGCCCAGTCATGGTAGCAGGGCAGGGGACTCTCAAAACAAAACAAAAACAACAACAACAACAACAACAAAAAAAAAACAAGAAAAGGAAAAAGAGGCTAATTAACAAAAAAGAAGAAAAAAAAAAAGAAGTCCCTCCTCTGGCATCCATAAAGCTAAGACCCCACCGCCCCACAGGTATCAGGAAGCCTATAATGAGGTAGTAAGGACCCCTCAGTGCCTCAACCCCTCCATGAAAATCTAGTGGAACACTCTGTCAGGATGAAGGTTTCAGTCCAACCCTGGGGCTGGTTCATCCTGCCACACACAAATTACATACTGGTGTTGAGTCTTACTATTTGGGACAGCCTGTCTGGCAGGCAGAGGCTGTGGTGTTTGGCTCTCTCAGTGTCTAGAACTCATAGAAGAGGCTAGGGAGCCAGGTGGGATCTGATGAAGTTGGACAGACAGAACAGGGCATCAGCCATTTCTCTTTAGCTGTCTGAAAGAGGGGAAAGGTACTGCTCCCCCGACAAAATGACACTGCTGCCATTAGGGGGCAGCTCCTGAAGAAAAGATGACCACAGGTGGCCCCACCAGAAACTCAGCCTTCTGCACCCACTTTGGGGATAGTATGAGCTCAGGGCTCCTGAAGGGCCCCAACAAATCATCTGGGACCATTACAGGTCAGTCTGTCTGTCTCTCCAAGAAGATGTATCTTAAGATTTATTTATTTTACATGTATGAACATTTTGCCTGGATGGATGTAAATGTACCACATATGTGCAATGCCCATAATCAGATCCCCCGGAACTAGAATTACGGATGGCTGTTACACATGGATGCTGGGAACCAAATCTAGGTCCTTTGCAACGGGAGCCAGTGCTCTTAACCACTGAGCCATCTCTCCGGTCTCCCCTACTCCCTTTTTTTTGGTCTTTTTTTGACAGGGTCTCCTTGTAGCCCCAGCTGGCCTGGAACTCATTAAGCTGACCAGGCTGGCCTTGAACTCAGAGAAATCTGTCTGCCTCTGTCTCCTGAGCGATGGGATTAAAGGCATGTGCCACCACGCCCAGCCTTCAGTCCCTATTTTTGTTTTTCATCCACATATATGTGTGTCTGTATAAGTGTATACCACGTGAGTGTGGGTATCAGCAGGGACCAGAAGAGGGCACTGGATTTCCTATTGCTGGAATTACAGTTAATTTTAAGCCATGAGATTTAAGTGCTGGGAATCAAACTCAAGTCCCTGGAAGACCAGTAAGCTTCTTTACTGCTGAGCCATCTCTCTAGCCTCACAAGTATATTCACAGCTAGAGAAGCTCCTGCCCTCCCTCCACTTCTAAAGAATGTGTGCCACAAATAAGGGTCAAGCAGGACAGTTCTAGTACTAAGGTCTGGACCTAGCACCCTCAGATGGCAACATGAGTACAGATCTGCCTATAGTTCAGTTCAGTGGTAGAGTGCTTGCCTAGCATGTGCAAGGTCCTGAGTTCAATAAACACTACAGAAAAAAAGACAGGTATGAGCCAGGTGTGTAAGAAGAGGGCTAGCCTTAAGACCACCACTCCCAGGTTTTTCAGGACAAAACAAATTAGGCCAAGGTACAGGTGGGGCTGGAACAAAGAGAGGCTGTCCAAAGGCATTAACACATCAATGCGGGCCCAGGTAGCTAGGTCAGATCCCCAGAACCCACAGAGACACCAGGAGGGTGTGGTGGCTCACCTATAATTCCAGACTCAGATGGGATCCCTGGAGCAAGCTGGCTAGCAAGACTAGTCATATTGGTGAGCTTTGGGTTCAATTGAGACCCTATCTCAATGACTATGGTAGAAAGTGATAGAAGATTCCCATCATCAACCTTTGGTCGCCACATGCTTGTGCACAACACAAATGCAGCCCCACACATGAACACCAAAGACACAGGCAGAGGCACACATGAAAAACCAAACAACAAATAAAAACACAACACATGAAATGCAGGGGGAGGAATGGATGGGCTCTGTCCCAGGAGCCCCTCTCATGCTCCTTTAGCATTCATGTAACATTCAGAGAAGCTTCTGAGTATGGGGAGTAATGCTTATCAAGGGTCAGGCTACTGGTCTGTCACACAGGTACTACCCGATCCAAGTGGCCCCTAAGCCATAGGTAGCTCTTACTGCTGTGGAGCAGAGGGCAACATGGTGGCAGTGTTACCATTCTGAGAGATGTAGAACCAGCCTGTATCCAGGCCCACTCTTTGCCAGGAATGCTACGCTATAAAGCCAGGTTTTCCAAAAGAACAAGAAGACAGGAACCAGTGCAGCAGGATTATTTAGTGCGCAGACAGGTCTAGGACTAAGCTTCAGCACCTTTAAGCACTAGACTCCCATAGTACAGACCTGTATCCTAACCTGCAGGTTCCCACCTCTCCTGCAACTTCACTCCTACCCATCTTCTACCAACAACATAC